AGGGGCTGCCATGCCGTGCTGAGCTCCCAGGCGGTTCTGGCTGGATGCCGGCGATGGTTGGGATGCTCTCCACGAGTCGGATGGTTCCGGACTGAGGGCAGCCTGGTGTTTTCTTACCCAGCCAGACACATTGTGGACGTGGATGGGAAGAGAGGCCTCTTCCGCGGTCTTACTCCTCGCCTCATCTCAAGCACTTTATCCACCATCACCAGGGGAAGCATGAAGAAGGTAAAAGTCGGCTTCTCTCTCCGTAAATCAGCTTGCTGGGTCGGCCGGTGCCACGGCAGCGGAGCCAGGGAGCCTGCGTGTGCTTGCACCCAGCCATGACTGCACGTGGGGGAATAACGCACCCATCCCTCTCCATCTCCTAAGGGCTCTTAATAGTCCTCCAGGACAGGAGGAGAGCAGTGTCTGTATCCCCAAAACTTATTTTCTAAACAATTTTTATTTAATTTGAACCACCACTTGCTTTTTGTAAGCATTTTCCTGACCCTTCTCTTCCCCTCTTTCACTTTCTGTCCTTCCGTCTCCTGTGTTCCTTCTTGCCTGTTTATCTTCTCCTCCCCTCTAGAACACAACTGCTCGTGGTTTCCTCCTGTCCTCAGACATGGAGGGTTGGTGGGTCAGTGGCTCCGTCAGTTTTGACCATATGTTTCTTCTCTCCCCGCTCAGGCCTTTCCACTGGAAGACATGGAGCATGTTTCTAACAAGGATGATGTGAAGACCTCCCTTAGGAAAGTGGTGAAAGAGGTGAGAGGTGGATACTGCACGTTACTGAGGAGATTGCACCAGGGATGCACCTGGAGAGCAAAGGAAGCTTAAACTGTCGGTGGAATTGCTTGGAGACAACCTCTGGGTGAAAAGGCTGTAGTATTTAGTAGCCACTCTGTGTCCAGCCATGAAATATTCTGTAGGAACAGAGGTTTACCACGAACAACAGATTCCCAAAGAGGGACCTGAAGTGGGTTTCACGACACTAAGGGAAGGGGCCTGACCTGTGCAGGTGGAGCAGCGCAGCTTTTCTTACAGGTGTGATTTTTTCTTCTCTCTCCTTCCCAGACGTCTCACGAGATGATGATGCAGTGTGTGTCCCGGGTTGTGTCACATCCGCTGCACGGTGAGTCCCGTTCCCCTGCCTGGCAGCCCTCTCCGGAGTGAGGATCGCCCCCAAACCTCATTTACTCCATGTGATTCCCTGTCGGAAACGGCTTTGTACAAAACCACAGAACAGATGCAGTCTGAGTGGTTGCTTAGGGAGGCCAACACTTGGGTTGGCCTTCAGGGACCATTCCAGCTGAGCGCTGAAGTGCTCTCTTCCCAGTCATCCAAGAGCTTGTCCTAGAGATCCCGTTGGGGTTAGGGCCAGAAATCCATCACTTCCAGCCTAGGGAGCGCACTGTTTCTAACGAGGCTTGTAGTGATGAGAGCCACCGAGAGGAGCTGGAGGTGGTAGGAGTTGAGGGGAGGGAGGACAGAAGGCTCAGATCGCATATTCCTTCACCTCCACTGCAACCCAAACTGGATTTGCTTTTTTGTCAGCTTTGTGTTTCTTTCCTCCTAGTGATCTCTATGCGCTGCATGGTCCAGTTCGTAGGCCGGGAAGTCAAATACAGGTGCGTGGCTGCAGCTCTGAAGGGTTTGGGTGGGCAGAAGCACGAGTCCCGGAATCAGCTGTGCCAGATGCTCCCAGGCAGTGGGGGATGTGGCAACCCAGGAGGTTTGGGAGACCGAAAAGTGAATCTGAGCCATGGTTAGAGAGTGGGTGACTCGGGGGTGAAGGGATGGGGGAGGACTGGGCTCTGTCCCTGGCATACTTGTTCTGCCTTGTGTCCTTTGGGATTTTGGTAGCTGTAACGCACCTTGCTGATCGCGTAGTCTCCTGCCTTTTTGCTTTGGGTGTTGATAGAAAGGGAGGTCAGCAGGGAGGCAGAGTAGGCAATACGAAGCGTTGCTGCAACCCTGCTAGCCTGCAAGAGTTTTCCAAGCCTTTTTCAGTAGTATCTACCTCTCTGCAGGGCAAAACTGCACTTGCAGCCAGCTGAAAGCATGCTAGACACGATTGCAGCTAAGCCACGACTGCCAGCATGAGCTCCCGGAGGCAGGACAGGGTTCCTGGGTTGAGAATCAGCCTGATGACAGCACATGATGTGCTGTGGCTGCGGCACGTGCGTCCGCTCGCACGAAGCCAAGCAGAGCTCTTCTGGCTTCGGCATTTAAAATTATCCCAGGCGTTACTGCAGGTTGGCGGCGTGCAGACACGACCCTCCGTGGGCTGAGGAGAACAGAGGTACCCGCTGCATCGCTGGCGTGGGGCCTGGGAGGGGGCACTGCTGCGGCTGGTGGCTGCGGAGTGCACGCAGAGTTGCGTGGGGTGGAGATGGAGCAACCCCTACATGCTTATAGCTCTTTTCCTCTCTCGGCAGCGGTGTGTTCCGTGCCATCGGCAGGATATTTAAGGAAGAAGGGATCCTGGGATTCTTTGTGTACGTGAGTTGTGGTTTAAATACTTGCTCCCGTAGTCCGAAGGCGCAGACAGCTCACCCAGCTGCTCTGCCAACCTCAGGGAGTTTTGCTGAGCTCCCCTCATCTGAAACCTTGTCTGACCATGGGACTCTCACGTCAGTCCCATGAGCACAGATTAAATCTGTGCCTTTGACAGCGCTCCAGTTTGACCAGTAAGTTTGCCCCAGATCTTATCTTCAATCAAACTTTCAGAGCCCAGGGAAAACCTTGTATTTTTTCTTACCTTTTCTTTTTCCCCTTGGCCCTTCGTTGTGTTTCAATGAAGAGCTGTTTAAAGCATTTGTTTGTGCAACAGGCACCAAGATCAAACGCAACGAGACCCCTTGTTGAAATATCCAAGCCAGGGCCTGGATAAGCAGCACATTCCTCTGAAGAGCACCGTAATGAGCAGGTGGATCGTGCTGGCAGCAGGTTTGCCTGTACGACAGGAGCGTGATGCTGCCTGGACCAGGAGGAGAGGGAGGGTGCTTCCAGCTGCTTACGAAGTGTGGCGAGTCGGTGGCATAGCTGAAGTGAAAGTCTAGCAGACACCTTTTTTGCTTGAACTCAATAATTAACGCTTCTTGCCTTTTTTTCCATATCTATATAAAAGCAGAACCACCTGCTGCCTCCGCTGCCGGTGGAGAGAGAACTCACTTTATTATGTCAATACTAGTAAAGGCAGCTCCGAAATTTCAGGAGGGGTTTTCAGCCCTGATGCTTTTGCAATCACAAAATTTGGGCCTCTAGATGAAACATGAATGCATCAGGAAGAGACAAGCAATCACAGAGGGTCCCCCCAAGGGGAAAGGGCCAGAGTTCTCCAGAGACCCCATCGATGCAGTGTCACTGCATCTGCCTTTTGCAGCCCACAGCTGCTTTGCTGAGCTGTGCAGCCCCAAACCTCCTCCATTAAATACAGGTTCCTCTGGGATGTTCCCTGTGCATGGGGCATGTCCGGAGCATGCTGCCCGGCAGCCCTCCCTCCCCTGCACCTCCTAAGGAAATAATGTGAAAGGAGCCACCGCATTCCCTTCCTCCACATAAAATAAACGCTGTTGGTAGCCTAATTAAACGTAATAGTTCACAGGAAAGGCTTTTAACACAACCCAAAACGTCTCAGGAGGGCTCTGAAGTTAGATGTGCTCTACAGCCTCGCTAGGAAATCACACTGCCGTGACGGGAACGCAAACTGCATCAGTAGGACCAAACTGCTGCTTTTCTGCTCTCAGCCCTCCTAACGCAATCCAAACACTTCCGCTCCCTTAGAATCATTGTGGGGCACTGATTTCTCATGGCTTTGTAACCTCTGTGCAGCAATAACAGCAGCACACACTTGCTCTGGATGTGTGCCTGGCTGGAGGTGAAGACTTTTCAGGGGATGGGCTTATCTTGCTTCCCCTGGTGCCTGCAGCAGTCTCCTGCCTGCCAGCAGGCCAGAAAGATGTTGCCTGGGCTCCGAAACCACTGCACGTGGTCAGCTCGAAGATGGCTTATCCCAGCCCTGCCTGGCACTGGGGTTTCTCCTGCCGGGTGGCATCGCCGTACATCACAGGCTCCACCATCTGCCTGCTGCTGTTTCAGCTTTTAATGACTTATCTTCTGAAAATATGCCTAGTCTGGATCACCTTGGACATCTCACCAGGCGTGAGAGCTGTTGCTCAAACGAATTTGGGTTTTTTTGTCCCCTTCTGCAGCTCTCTCAGATACCTGGTCTCCAGTCATCCCATAAACTCAGGCCCAGCATCCGTGATTACTTTGGTGACAGAGGAGAGGGAGGGATGGGATCCTTATTGCAACTGGAACTAATGATCTGATTCTTTATCGTGAGGCTTTACTTACATGGCTGCCGTGGGCCAGTCCTGGCCCAGCCCTCTGTGCCTGGGCTTTAAGCCGCTGTCGCACCCACAGCAGCTCAGGAGTCTGCTTCACACTTGACTTGGAGTCAGAGAAAGGATTTTTTTTTTTTGCAAAGGCTGAATGCTAAATGCAGAGCAGACCAGATCTCTGGGACCAGAGACCTTCGATTTCTTTGTCCTGTCTGTTGCTCTCATGTGTCACATCTTTTAAGCCAGCGGATCTTCTGTTGAAGAATTCCACTGTGCCTGGCCCCCGAGACCTCAGCTGCATCTCCAGAGCTTCTGGGGCCTTGACAATACATAGGTTGCCTCCCAAAAAGTATAAGCGAGCGAAGCGGGCTGGATCAAGAGCATGCAGTCCCAATTGCTGTTCTGCTGCTGCAGCGACCACAGCATGAAACAAAACTAGTTCCCTGCTCCAAAGATGCAGCGTTGTGTTTGGGAAGAAACTAATGACTTGGACTAGGTGGCTCTTTCCAGCCCAGCAAACACTCACGTGGCTCTCACCAAGCTTATTTTCAGGAATGTTTGAACATCTCTTCCAGCAAAACACAGGTTTAACACACACCTGGGTCCTTTTGCAGTGAAACAGCTGCACAGCCAAAGCAGGAGGCCCTGTGCTTGATGCCTGTGCTGCTGCGACAGGTGCTGCAGGAGCCCTGACAACATGGAGAAACCCTCAAAAATGCTTTGTTCACGTTTTAGTGCCATCAGCTGCAGAAGCTGGGGGTGCTCGTGCTGCTGGGAGCTCCAGCCCACGTGTTGGTGAGAGGCATCACTCAGAGCAGCACATCACCCTGTGTCCCTGTGCTCCCAGGTGGCAGCAGGAACTGGGAAAATCAGAGGGACTGGAGTGCTGCCCCCAGTTAATCCCACTTTGCAGTAGAGCAGGTTTCCTAGGAACAACCCTCCTCATTTTAATTTCTAAAAGGAGGGAGATTCCACAAAG